AATCAGGAGCCCTCCATGGGCTTTAACTGGGGATCAGGAACCCTCATTGGACTTAACTGGGGATCTGGGAAGCGCTTATGAGGTGCTGGCACTGGAGGGAGCTCTGGAGGAGCAGGCACAGCAAGGCGCTTTCGAGGAGCGTTTGGGGCTGAGCAGGCGGTTCGAACCGTTGGTGCGGTATGTGGGGGTTCCTGGCGTGGAGTGAGCTGGCGAGACACGGCGTGCCTCAGAGGGGACGGGACGACGAGACTGAAACTTTTCCTTTATTTCTTCAACTTCATAATTGGAACCGTTTAAATAAAGCACAAGATCAGTCAGCTCGATCAGAGGATAATTACACACAGGAAGATCGCAGCGGATCGTCTCGCCGTCCAGTCCCAGCTGAAAGCACGCACCAAGAGCGGCGTCGTGCCAGCTCAGCTGGTTAGCAAGCTCTAGGAAATCCTCCACATACTGCTCCAACTTCTGACCAGCCTGCCGCAAACCCCTCAGCTTGTCCTCAGCCATCATCTTATTTTGGTCTGGTCTTCTGTCACGGGGTGTCAGGCAGGGAAACGCAGGAGACTCTGAGAATTGTTGCAAACAGGAACTTTTAATTGAAGATTAACATAACGTGGAGAAAACACACTAAAAGTAACGGAGACCGGACACTGAATGAACGTAGGAGACAGGCATATAAAGGAGAAGAAATGAGGAGACTAAATTAACACAGGTGGAAACTAATGAATGATGATTAACTAAATAATTAGAACAGGAAAAGAACCAAATAAGGACAGACAGGAACTAAACAGAAATCGACACGTGACAATAGTATTCCCACTTTTTACAAAATATAACTGTAATCTGAGTACTTTGTTTTTTGATGTAACTGTAACGGATTACAGTTACTAGATTTTTGTATCCTGATTACGTAACGCCATTACATGTATTCCGTTACTCCCCAACCCTGGCTCTGAGTTCAAACCCCTGTGTATGTGAATGATGCAGATGTACATAAATGTGTGTTTGTGTGTTTATAGTGTGGATCATGGAGGAGAGATCATGATGACAGCAAGACCACGAAAGTGTAGAACTACAAACACACACTTCTACTGTGTCTGTTGTGTTTTTCTAGGTGTCTGTTGTGTTGAGGGGTTTGTTGGTGATTACATTGGGTCTGAGGATAATTACTCCTCAGTGTCTCTGTGTGAGACTGAAACACTTCCTGTGAGAAAGATATGTGCTGAGTGAAAAAAAACTCAATCTTTTACAAACACTACTAGAGAAAATATTTGGATAACTATTTATCTTAATTAGTTTTTACTTAACTGATTATTACTGTTTTTTTCCTTTAATAACCACTCAGGCAAATCCAGTGTGAGTGTAACTTAACCCAATACACGCAAATTCTGTTTATGACTTATGTTTAAAATAAGGTGTTTTTTATTATTATTATTATTTTTAATACATCTGGGTTTTCTGCTGGAAGTCTTAGTATTCTGTTTCCATTTTAAATTGTTAATCTGCTTAATGTTTAGCGATCACTTTTAGCCTCGCTCATCTGAACTGCTGAAGTCCTGCAAGAGTCCAGGGGCTTCATTTATAAAATCATCCTACATTTGATCTAAGATGATTTTTCAGCTGTGCAAAAACCACGTGTACGCCTCTCTTCCAGATGTGAACTCTGTAAATAGTGTGCAGTTGAATGGTTTCAGATCTCCATCTTGTAAATGCGCCCTAATTAATATTAGCATATAATAGAGCACCAGTCAACATCCAAATCCTTTAGTTGAGAATGCCGAGCGAATGCACACTCTAAGATCAAATCTGTGCAGACGCATGTTTTATAAATGAAATCTGAACAAGCAAAAGACACAAGAGTAGTGTTTGACATTTTTAACATCTGTGTGTAGTATGTATGTGGCTAATTATTTGATGTTTGTTTGTAGAGTTACTACGCAAAAATGCAATTTTTAGAAGTTTTGAAAGAAGTGTTTGCTTTTGCAAGATGTGTGTGATTGTAATGTGGGGTTTGGTGTTTGGGTTTTGTTTCATGTTCATGTTTTCCATGTCTTTTATTTTGTAATTGTTTCATGCTGTCAGTGTCATGAGTTAAGTCTGTTCAAGTCAAGTCAAGTCTAGTCAAATCAAGTCTTCGTTTATTGTTTGGATGTTTGGATCACTGTAAATAAACTGCACTTGGGTTCTTCACTACGCTTGCTCTCACCTCCTCGTGTCTCACTGCCTCGTGTCTCTCCTCCTCGTGTCTCACGCCTCGTGTCTCACCTCCTCGTGTCTCTCCTCCTCGTGTCTCTCCTCCTCGTCTCACCTCCTCGTGTCTCACTGCCTCGTGTCTCTCCTCCTCGTGTCTCACGCCTCGTGTCTCACCTCCTCGTGTCTCTCCTCCTCGTGTCTCTCCTCCTCGTCTCACCTCCTCGTGTCTCACTGCCTCGTGTCTCTCCTCCTCGTGTCTCACGCCTCGTGTCTCACCTCCTCGTGTCTCTCCTCCTCGTGTCTCTCCTCCTCGTCTCACCTCCTCGTGTCTCACTGCCTCGTGTCTCTCCTCCTCGTGTCTCACGCCTCGTGTCTCACCTCCTCGTGTCTCTCCTCCTCGTGTCTCTCCTCCTCGTCTCACCTCCTCGTGTCTCACTGCCTCGTGTCTCTCCTCCTCGTGTCTCACGCCTCGTGTCTCACCTCCTCGTGTCTCTCCTCCTCGTGTCTCTCCTCCTCGTGTCTCACCGCCTTGTGCCTCTCCTCCTCGTGTCTCACCTCCTCGTGTCTCACAGGATCTCTGGAGAAGAGCCTGAATGTTTCTCTGAATCTGAATGTGGATGTGGTACGAGGAATGAACCGAGGATTCTTCGATCAGAGGAATGTGTCGTCCAGGACTTAATGGCGAATATTTATGTAAACACAGTCAGTTATGTCTAAAGTGAACTAAACACGGATGTGTGTTAGTGGTGGGCGATATACTGGTAGACATGGGCTGCATCCGAAAGCCTAGGCAGCTGACTTGCTGCCTCGCTGCCTTATCAGGTGATGACTTTTCAGGCAGCGTTTTTGCACGAAGGCACCTCATGAAACTGATTTCGGACAGGCTTCTGACGCAGCGTAATGGTTTAATGATCTACAACAAAATAGAACGAGTTTTGATGATAACTAAATGAATATTTAATTACTGTAATACTAATTTCTTGCTAGAACTAACATCAAAAGTGCAAAAAGTTAGTCAGAAATATACATTTACACACAAACTGATCACCGACCGCGACTTTCAGATACCATCTTTATTTTTTTAGCTTAAATGTCACAGAATGGAACACACAGGATTGTGGGATATCAAAGGCAGCGAAGGATACATCTTCAAAAATTGGCCAGATGAAGGCATCTCAGGAGACAGGATCTGAAGTTAACATAGAATTCGGACTTGTCTTGATGTCTTCCTACCTTGGAATGCGTCCTCCAAAGGCAGCATTTTTCAGTTTTCGGATTTAGCCATGATTAACTGGTAGAAATTTGTCAACCGGAAGAGATTTTGGACTATCGTCTCTATCGCGGTTACACACTCACATGACGTTACTGTGCTACGTGGTCACGAAAACTGATCATTTGCACGAGTTTTTAAGCATTGCGGTTTCAAAACAAGTTATTTTAAGTCGTTGAAATGCAATCAGCAGCAAAAGGGAACTCGTTTGGCTATATGTGCGTGCTGTCTGCTGTAACAGTATATTGGATCCAGGCAGCTCTTAAAGTGACAGCAGTCTAATATTCCTGCTGTTTGTCATTCATGTTAATCAAAAAACAAAAGAGAGAAAATCTCTTTTGTAACATTAATAAGAAGAGGAATATATATTTAATTTACACAGTGAAGAATATGCAGTGTTTTTATTCATTTGATTATACAATGTATGTAGCTTTTCTTATTTATTTGTTCTACTGTAATCCTATTGCTTATAATTAGTTTCTTATTCTTATTTAATCGCTGACTGTTTACTTGTCTTCAGTGAGCATGAGTTTTTTTTCTAGTATTAGTTTTCTGTGATATTGACACTGTTGACAAGAATTATGAAACTTCTATGGTATCAAAAATTTTGATATCATAAAGACCTTATTTAAAGCAAAAAGTAACTATATTGTGATATATATCGTTACTGTGAAATAAAATGACTCGTATTGTGATATAAGATTTTGGTCATATCACCCACCCCTAATGTGTGTCAATATGTATGATCCGTGCATTAGGTCTTAAAGTGACAGCAGCCTAATAGACCTGCTGCTGTCTGTGTCCTTAATGTTAATAAAACAACAAAAGACAAGGAGAAAATCACTCACTGCTCTTTACTGAATAACTTTTGTGGCTTTAATAACAATGATTCTGTATTTAATTCATACAGTGAATATTATACATTGCATTAGTGTGTTCAGTTTCTGTAGTATTTCTTCTGTTAGATAATATTCTTTATTTCATTTGTATCTTTGTTCTGTTGCATTTTTTTTTGGCCCTATTGCTTGTAATTAGTTTCGTTACTGTGAAATTTATTTATATTATGGGATTATGCCTCTGAAGTGTGGGAAGCTCTGCTCTAGTTGTATGATAATGTTTTCTTGAGATTCAGCATGTTTTCAGTATATTTGGTACAATGATATGCAGCATGTATAGCTGGTTCACATTTTGTTTCTAGTGACTTAATTTGCGGTTTATTTATAGTAACCCAGTTTTATGATATTCATTCTATTAACTTGATTAAATATTACTTATTTAAATATTACTTATTTACTTCATCTGTCTTTTTCTGTAATCACAAAAAATTTAAGTAATGATATTTTTACCAATTTGAGTAATCAAATTAATATAAATGATTCAATTGAATTAGATATAGCTGAGTCTGTATATTGTTAGACTGATGTTTTTATGGCACTATCACAAGACAAATATGAGACATTAACAAAATGCTCTATATTTATTCAAACTCTACATATCCTCACTAAAAATCTGAAGATTACATTGACAAAAATATATGGATACATAGATATGGACACAACATATTAAGTTAATCAACAGAGAATATGAAACATACAATGTACAAGTATAAATAAAACTGAAGATATAAAAGCATTATGTTATGTGTTTCATCCTAATGCCACGTTCTACAGATTATTTTCAAATGTGATTATAGTTCACATCAGTCACCTACAGAATGATGAACGGCACATCCGTAAATTTGGTTTTATTGGTCACATGACTTTGAGTGGTTGAGCGATTAGCTGTTTGCTACCGTCGTGTCATCGTCGCAGTTCTCTGATTCCGTCTTCACTCTGAGCAGTGATGTCGCAGCAGCGCTACTTCCTGTCGCAGGCACCGCCGTCGTCGAGTGAGTCTCTTCAGCCGGTTGGCATGGCGACTCGTGCACACGCATGTGTTTGGCCAGGTGGTCGGCGCGCAGGAAGACCCGCGGGCAAGAGCTGCAGCCGAAGCGTTTGGCGCCAGTGTGCGTCTGCAGGTGGCGCTGCAGTTCATCCGAGCGCGTGAAGCGTTTGCCGCAGAACAGCCAGTTGCAGACGAAGGGCCGGTCGCCGCTGTGCCAGCGCAGGTGCGCTTTGAGGTGCGACGTCTTCACGTACGCTTTTCCACAGCCGGGGATGTGGCAGTTGTGCAGGTGCTTGCGTTTACCACCATCGCCGGCGCTTCCCAGAGACTCGGCGCTCAGGCAGTTGGGACACCGGCAGGAGGCCTGACCGGGAGCGCGACTCCCGGCGCGACGCTGTGATTTCGGTCGAGCAGAAGCGCCCGCGGCGTCCTGTTGCTCCTCTGAGGAGTAGGAAGGGGAGGCCTGCGGGAGCGGCAGCAGATCCTGTGTCAACGGCTCCATCTTAAAGCCCTCGGGTGGGTAGTGCAGGCCAGAGTGGGCGGAGCCGGAGGGCGGCAGGCAGCACATCTGTGGGTCAGCCGTGTAGGAGCTCATGGAACCGCCCTGTGCTGGCCCCGAGGCCTGCGGGAGCGGCAGCAGATCCTGTGTCAACGGCTCCATCTTAAAGCCCTCGGGTGGGTAGTGCAGGCCAGAGTGGGCGGAGCCGGAGGGCGGCAGGCAGCACATCTGTGGGTCAGCCGTGTAGGAGCTCATGGAACCGCCCTGTGCTGGCCCCGCCCCCAGCCCCGCCCCCTGCAGGTCCATCCATCCTGCTGCTGCTGCTCCAGTGTGCACATCCCACCAGCCAGACACGCTCACCTCCTCCTGCGGTGGTCCCGCGCGCAACCAAGGGTCGTACGGATGGGCCATGATGAGTGTGAGCGAGTGAGGGACTGTGTGTGTGTGTGTGTGTGCGAGAGAGAGAGAGACTGTATCACCACATGACTGTGGATGGGAATCTGAAATCACTGCCTGAACCTGTGAAAACACACAAAACACACACACACACACACACACACACACACAAACAGATCAGTTTGAATGATTTGTGAAATGATTTCATCCATTGTTTTTCTGTTTTCTTTGATGCCAATTTTCATGCGGCTCTTTAGGCAATTAGTCACATGACAATTAATATTAAGTAAAATGCATTGATTTAGCTGCACATGGCCCTATTGAATGAGGTCACCTAATAACTGAACTAAATTCAGCTGAATTCACATTTTTGACGTAAGAGCATGTGCAGCCATTTGTAACTTGAATGTTTAAAGCTTCTGGTGTCATTCGCTTCCCGTTATTTTAGCCAAACAAAGACAGTCCGTTATGCTGCAAGTTATTTTCCTATAAGTATAACACACACACACACACACACACACACACAGATATTTACAGTATATACTTCGTCCTTTATCTTGTTGCAATGCATTAACGTCTGAGATGTTAAACCGAGGTCCTGACTCTCTGTGGTCATTAAAAATCCCAGGATGTCTTTCGAAAAGAGTCGAGGTGTGACCTCGGCATCCTGGCCAAATTTGCCCATTGGCCTCTGACCATCATGGCCTCCTAACAATCCCCTATATATATATATATATAGCTATATGAAAAAACAAAACAAAAAAAAAACACGCCAGATGACTTGAATAGCTCTATTTGGAAAAATATATATAATCATTTGGGTGATTGTGTAGGTGAGTAAATCAGCATAGAAAATAAACAAATTACAAACATAGATAAATATAATAGAACAAAGATACAAATTAAATATCTGCTAATTGGCTTCATCACTCTGTCTCCTCTCCAGCAGTAAGCTGGTGTGTGGTGGGCGTTCTGGCGCACTATGGCTGCCGTCGCATCATCCAGGTGGATGCTGCACACTGGTGGCGGTGGCACACTGACAATGTAAAGCGCTTTGAGTGCCTAGAAAAGCGCTATATAAATGTAATGAATTATTATTGTTATTATTATAGGTTTGTCTTCTTCACAAAGGAGATGTGTGACATTGTCTTAGAATTTGGCAAAAATGTGCTATCTAAAAAAGGCATAATTTTGCTACTGTCTGATAAAGAAATACAGATTTTTTTAACTCATTTTACTGCAGATAACTTTTACGGTCTTAAAAAATCGCTTATTCTCATATTTGTGTCATTATATTTTTAATTCTAAATACTCAAATCTGTGCAGATTTTGGGCTTTGACATTTATAGTTCGGGACTGGCTGTTCCCACTTTATTTCTGCAACTAAAGTTTTGAAGGTGCAGCGTCATTGTCTACCTTTTGGAACGGTCTTCATGGTGTACTAGAAAAGCAGCGTCTTTAGTGCTGATGAACTGAGCTGCGGTTTGACTGTCAGCGTCTCCAAAGCCACATTAACGCACGAACCTCTAATACACATTAGAGCTTTACTGACGTCATGGGAGGGAGTTGGCGCGGCTGTTAGATAATGACCCCACTAGTCTAACGACAAAATCTAATGTTGAAATGAATGATTGCCGTCAATCTCAGCATTGACCAATAAGCTTTTCAGACTGAAGAATTGACAAGCCGCTGTCTTGCTCGGATCCAAACCTTTCTGCTATAAGCTCAAACACAGACCGTCATCCATGGTGTCTGTTTCAAATGGTTGACTCAGTCATTGAACAGTCTGTTGTTGAATGTAATGTCTACAGCAAACACACATTCACTGTGTAAAGTTACTCTGAGAATCTCATCCTGATGGAGTTCAGTATGGCAGTTAATGTTCACGCAGTTTTCACATGAGCTACATTTACATACACCCAAATAATGCCAGTAATCAGACTGATGGCTCAATCAGACTGAAAATCCTTCATGCAAACATCTCGATTGATCCGAATGAAATCTCCAATGGATTGAAGGCATGAAGTAGACCTGACATAATCCAATCAATAGGTAGAAACTAAATGTGTGAACACATGAATAAAAATATCTAATCAATACTTTTTGCACAAGCAATTTGCCGTGATGCACGTTAACCAGAAGCCTTTAGAATAAGATCTCTGTTTACATACACACATTTGTAAAATATAAAGTGTATGTTCATTTATGTCTTATGAACTAGAGGCGATTGAATATTTAGAAAATATCTGCTAAAAAAGCTCTGCTGACATATATGCCAGCTTTCCTTTCAGATATGTCATCAAGGCAAAAACAACAGTTAGACTCAAAATCAAACCGAATCTGAAATCAAACAGTATTTATTCAAAATTAGTGCGTGTAAACATAGCTATTCTGAATCGGACCTCCGACTGGAGAGGACAAGATTTCAGCAAAAAGTGATAGCAGGTGAGACTCACCGACCACAATTAAGTTGTTTTGAGTCGACTAGTTAGACGCCACCTTAATGCATCCGTGATCTCAAAAAACACACACCTCAGCACTAACCACACACACACACACGGTTTCACTTTATTAGTGAGCACGTCTCAGATGCAGTGGTATAAATCCCAATCTCAAACACACTAAACCTGCTGAAATTAGACTAAAACACAATTTGACTGATGAGTCTTTCAGTGAGGAGCTCTTCAAATGTCCTCACAAGTCAGTCCTTTGTTTTATCACATTTGTGAGGACATTTAAAAATATTTGGACCTGGCAAATATCACACACACACACACACACACTCATGCTGATAACAGCCTCTCGCTCCCTCACACCTGGATGGACCAGCCCTGACAAACACACACACACACACACACACACACACACATTAATAAATAAACTTTAACCAGCACATACAACACTCCAGACACTAACTAATGATGGTTGACTAGTCCAATACTGAGTTGTTAAACATTTTTCAAAAGCTCATTAATAAAGTCCTTAAACCACATTATACAGGACTTACTTCAGAGTACTAGTTATTTTAGTAAATGTATAAATTAAAACCTTAACTAGCCTCATTATATGGGGTCTCTTTGAGAGTACTAGTTAATTTAGTAAACATGTATAAATTTAGACCTTATCCAGCC